CCCCCCCTCTCCCTTCCGCCTGTTGCAGCCTATGGAATCAACAGCATCCTCTACCAGCGGGGCATCTACCCCCCCGAGACCTTCACCCGCGTCCAGAAGTACGGGCTCACCCTCCTCGTCACCACCGACCCCGAGCTGAAGAACTACCTCAACAACGTGGTGGAGCAGATGAAAGGTGGCGGGCGCGCGGGGGGTGCTGCGAGCCGCCGGGAGGCTGCCGTGCCCTCCTCGTTGTGTCTCTGCTGACGCTCCTTATCTGTCCCGCCCTTTCAGAGTGGCTGTACAAGTGCATCGTGCAGCGCCTGGTGGTGGTCATCTCCAGCATCGAAAACAACGAGGTTCTGGAGCGGTGGCAGTTTGACATAGAGTGTGACAAAACCGCGAAGGATGAGAGGTAAGTCACAGTGTTCCTCTGCGCCTGCTCTTCCCCACGCCCAGTAGCTGTGCAGGCAACAAGGTACACACCATGTGCATCAGCTGTTGTGGTTCCTCGGAGCCACTGAGACAGCCTTTTGTCAGTAAGAGCATGGAAGATGTTCCTTCAAACTTCTTGTACTGCTGTTCCTTCTGTTTGTCTGTAAACTAGGCATTATATGATTGAAACATACATAATACATAGCTTTTTTGTGTGGTTTTTTTTTAAAGCATCAGATTAAAACTTGATTTTTAATCTTCAACAAAGCATTTAAGATTCTGTATAAGGTACATGCCCTAAAGATCTACTGCTTTCCTCATTATACCCAAATATTCTCATCCATTCTGGACTGAGAACAAATGTGACATTCCTTACAAATACTATGAAGCTTTGCAAATGACAATAAAGGAAAACCAACTACCGCTTAACTTTTCTAAGCCTACCTACCTAGGGCTTAAGAGAGTGTCACTACTGTAGAAAAACCCTATAGCAAACACCTTAATAGAGAGAACTGTACTTAAAGAAAACTGTCAGTGTAGTAGAAGCTTGCTTTCTTAACAGTTTTCCTGTTCTTCCAGTGCACCACGAGAAAAATCTCAGAAAGCTATTCAGGATGAAATTCGGTCTGTTATCAGACAAATAACTGCCACAGTAACTTTTCTGCCACTGTTGGAAACTGCCTGTGAGTATTCCTAACTTCACTGAAGAAATCAAACATGTCTTTTGGAAAACCTCAACAACTTTTCTCCTTTAGAAAGTATTTTCTGCTAATTTTCTGGAGCTTTTTAATTATTGCATGTCATACACGATCCCATTTCTGAGAGCGTTTCGTTAGACTGAGATCATGTCTCTTGCAATCGCGTACAGTATGAAAACAGCATGTTGGATCAGATATTTTTAAGAATTATCCTACAGTGTTTCTTGCACAACAAAGACTAAAAATAATTGCAAATGTAAATACTGTGCACCGTCTCTCATTAAAGAACTTGGATCAACTTCATTTAAAGGGACTAGTGGTACTTTCTCCCCGAAAATACTTAAAAGCTTTTTTTGTCAAAAGGAGAGAACTCAAGGTGGTTAATTAAACTAGTATGTGTACTCTAAGGAATGTAAGTTTTTCATAAATAATGAATTATTTTGTGACTCTAGCTGTGGACAGGCTTGTCATTGAGTTCATATTAAGTGTTACATAGAGCTCAGCTCTGCAGCATTTTAACATGCTTAAAAAAAATTGACATCACGCTCACTTGAGAAAACTAAAATGGCTACATGTGAATATAAGCTGGACTTGTTCTCATGTTTTAACTACTAGTCCTTTTCACATAACTAGTATTGGTGTAGTTTCTGAGAACCTTGGTACGTCTCAAGTTCTAGAAGATGCACTTTTAACTTCAAACATGCCATCTTACACGTGCATGACTCTTGTTTCCACTTGCTTACAGGTGCCTTCGACTTGCTGATATACACAGATAAAGATTTGGCAGTGCCAGAGAAGTGGGAAGAGTCAGGACCACAATTCATAGCCAATTCAGAAGAGGTTCGCCTTCGCTCCTTCACTACTACAATCCACAAAGTAAATAGTATGGTGGCTTACAAAAAGGATTCCTACCCCTAAGACACGGGGCAGTTTTGTACATAACCTGTAACCTTGTATAGTTTCTGTTCGTAGTGCAGCTAAGTCATGAACACATCCTTACTGTTGCTCTTGCTGAAGAAAAAAGGCGACGTGTTTGCCTACGATAACGTGGTGTAACACTAGATTAAGCTGGCATTGTTTCCAAGAGGTCTAAATAATGTATTCGTGATAGTTCAACTCTTACTTATCTGTATGAGCTAAAGTAATGGTGTTAAACTACTGCATTCAGAAGAAAAACTGCCTAAATCTAGGACGAATTGCTAGAATTGTGTTCAGATCTTGTCATTTAGTATTTTAAGATTATTATAAACTGCCTTCTATTAGCAGGCTTAAGTTCTCTCTGGCACTAAAAAAATGAATCTCACTCTTGACATGCCAGTTATTCACGTTAAAAGCCTGGGATGTTTTATTACTAGAAACAATCCTAAAAAAAATCAACAGAACAATTCTGGTACCTCTTTACAACAAAAGCAGCTGTTTATCAAGAAAATCTTAAATATAAGAAGCTTTGTATATTAATGACTGTTGGACTCTGGTTCTGAGGATGGTGGTGTTTCAAGTTAGTGTACGTCTCTAGTGTCTGTCAAGCATTTTCTACGTTTGTATTCTTGTTTTACAGAATAAAGCTTGAAACTGTATAGTGTTCCCTAATTCAGAGTCTGTAGTACTTCATATTTTAGATGGTTTTATGGATGCTGTATCTTAGTTTAACACTGTCATGGAACTAACAGCAGACTAACACCCTAAAGGCATCCTACTTAATCCTCCCTCACCATTATTATTGTTACTCTGTTTTCTCTGACTCTCAGGAGAACTGTTGGGGATTCCATGTCCTCTATGAATGGATTTTTAAGTTTGCCCCCACTTGTATCTTGAAATAACAGTATAAATAGTCACAGTGACCTAGTGACTAAGCACACTGTTGCTTCCCATATTTGTTAAATAGCATAGGACTCTTCCTGCATTCTTCACTCATTTTTGTACTGGAAGAAATTATGGATTTAAAACTGTAAGTGTTGAACAAAAACATCAAAGAGCTTGAAAGTTCTCTCATTTCCTTCACCAAGGAAAATTCACTTCAGCCAGAGTATTTAACTTTTCCCACTCTTCTATATCTGAAGTTGTAACAGTATAATTTCAAATTTCAGTTTATTTAAAAAAATGTACGTGTACTCCACCACTGCATTACAAAGCTTCTGGGCTTCCCTACCAGAAAACAGCTCTCTCCAGGAGCCCCAATCCAGCAGAAGCGAAAAGGCAGCCTTCTGTAAATCAGTAGCACAAAATCAGGGCATTTTAAAATAAATGCAATCTAGGTACTTTGAAAAAACATGACATTATTCACTACTAGGGCTTGCACTGCAGTAACAGAGGAACAGCTGGTGTTTTCTTCCGCCTGTCAGCAGTATTTTCAACAGGTGACTGCACCACCCCTTCACACCTAGAAGGCAGTGCAATTCAAGAAGTGCAACTTCAAGCACTTCCCTGGGGGAGGACTGGGTCATGGCAGCGTGTGCACGTCAACTGTAAGAGAAGTTTAAATCAGGAACTGACAACCACTGCTTTAAACCAAAGATGAGATCAGGAGGTGACCGGTACAGAGGCAGCACTAGTGAGTATAAAAAACCCCTTGTTTTACAGAGGTGCAGAAGTCAGGTTGCTCCTGGAAGTTCAAGTCACTTCTTTCTTGTACCAAATACAATTTATCTTCTTCAAGAAGGACCAGCCCAAAGTCCACCATCATCATCTGTGTATTTTTTTTTTTTTAATAGAGGCACCAACAATCAGGAGACGTAGTATATCATTGCATAGAGATAATGTCCATGAAAACTACATGTGAAAAGGACAGGTTATAAATCCTGAAGTTTTCACAAAGATCCTGCAGAACAAGAAAGAAAGAAAAAAAACAGTCACATTAATGCAATCTCCCAGAAGTCAAGCCTTTATGGAGATGTCCCATAGGATCTGCTGATACCTAACGAAACCCACACTCTTCATCAGTTTCCCCTACCTTGAGGGTCACTTCCGTGGAGTAAAGAATCAAAAACAAAGGAGCCCCACCCTCACCTTTGATGGAAGTACAGTTATTCTTAGGAAATGGGATAAAGGAGAAGATGTAGAAGTTACAACAGGCATTCCTCACCTGACTAGTTCAGCTGACGTATAAGCTGGTTGATCGCTTCACCTCTGCAGCCAGGCTTACCCATTTCCTTGAGGAAACCCACTTTGTTACGTGAAGCATGGCGAGCCACTGACAGATGAAACGGGCAGAGAAAGTTTGAGACTCTTCTGAAATTCTTCCCAGCTGAGTAGATTTCATGAATAAGGTCTTCCAGGCAAATAATACCACAGTTCCCTGCAGAAAAAAAAATAATTAAAAAAAACACCCAACAAAACAACAAAAAGCCCCCACAAATAACATTTACACAAGATACCAAACTGTATTATCTTTTCTCACACTACTCCAGAATTGCCAGTCTGTATACAAGTCTTGCGAGACTCTTCTCCCACCCCTTCCTCTTAGGTCAGATTGCAAACTCTCAATGTCTGCCTCTTTCCTTGATTCACTTCACTTTCTCATCCTCTTCCTCACCTAAATGTTCCTCTATTAGCATATTGTCTGTCAGAGGCATTTTCTTTTTCTTAATCTTGGTTTGGCCCCGTTTCAGGATGAGCTCTCGTACAGATTTCAGGTTAGGGTGTCTGCGCAAAAACAAAAATCAGATTCCGTAACAGAAAGACAGGATACAGTGGGAAGTCCGATCCTACTTCTTTGTATAGAGGTGGAAAAGTCACCAAGTCATGTTTAAAACAATGAGAAAAGGGACAATAACGAGTTTTAGCTATAAAGTCGACAACCACTAGCAAGTCACAGGACTGGTACTTACCCCCACGCCACGTAAGGTTCCACGATCCGCAGCATCTTCAGTGATAAAGGAGTCAGTTTAACAAATACTCCGGTGAAATTTTTTTTCAGCCGCAGCAGCTCAATCACTCTTTTTACCCTCTTACTCACTCCCTTAATACTGAGTCAGAAAAAAAAAAAAAACTATTAGTAACCATGTACCTCTAATACAGCAATAAAAGGTCTCGGATTACCTGCAAGGAGGCATGTCTGGGTTGATTCCCCTTCCATTGCTTGGAAGTGACATGACAGCTACAGAGAGCAGCAATAATAAAAGTAAGGAATAAGAAAAGTTTCTTACTCTACAATCCGCACAGCAAAGGCTAGTTTGTTCTCCTGAGGTACCACTGTCTGTCCAGGTCTCTGCTCCATGCGCCTCAGCCGGGTGTCGTCTCGGTGTTTGCGCCATGAATCTCGAACAAAAGCCTCAAGGCGTTTAAACTGGATTTGTTTCCCCCTCTGGACCTAAAGACAGAAAGATAAGAAATTATCACCCTTCCTAAACAGTCTTAGAGGTCTGCATCTCAAAGGCTAAATGAAATTCAGAACTTGATGAACTATGCTCTTTCTGTTTTGGAAGCAGTAAGGAGAAAATAAACTTGATGGTCTAATCCCAATGGAGATGGAACATGGAGGGGACAGCATACGAATTTACAAGCAGCTAGCTATAATTTATGAACAGCGAACAAAGAGGTTTTCCCCAGAAAAAATAGGAAAACCAGAGCAAGACCCAGGATATTTCTAGGCATAGGAGAAATCAAACGGAAGCATTTTCAGCCACAAATAAATCTTCACAACTACATACACAGCTCAGCCAACCACTGTGAAAGCCAGAAACAACATGTGTACCTGGGTAAAAAAGATACTAAAGCAATACTCTAGTGTGACTCAAAATTATCATCTAACAGAAAATAACTGGGTTTAAAGTAATTTTCTATAAAGGCACATACAGAAAAGAAATCCAAGCATTCAAATAACTACTAAGTATTACTAATTTAAACACAACATCCAGCTCAATTGAAAAAAACCCCAAACTTTCCAGAATTATGAGAAAACTTACAGGTTTTTTTAAATTAGAGAGAAGTTTAAATGCCTATCCTTAGCTCAGGAACAAGAACATCCACCAAAATCACAGTGTTCTCATATGAACGGGAGCTGGCTGTGCATGGCGGTTACCCACTAATATTTCAGATACACTACTAGCTAACTTATTTGGCCATTTTAAGTTAGACAACCTAATGCTACGTGTCTTCTGTTCCATTTCACCTGTAAGTCACCCATAGAATTAGCGTGAATTTTCAAAGCAGGCAGACCTAATCAGAATCTCATCACGAGAGTAATTTTTCTAACAAGAGTCTTTTGAGGTGACTATTTAACATTATTGCTTATGCTTCCAGCTCCACCTTGGAAAAACAGCAAGTCACTGATATGTTTAGAAACACGAACACATTATTTAACAAAAACGGTCGGATTTTTGCACATAATCTCACCAACTCCACAGAAAAAGATTCCCTGGGAAAGCTTTAAGCCACTTCCAAGACAGGCACCTGCTACATTAGCTGAGATACTGTGGAACAGGTCTCACATTCTGGAACAGGTCTGCTGTGCTCTGCCAGTCTACAAACCACACACTATGCACAGAGTCTCCGTGCCACCCTACATGCAGAAAAAGGCTTCACCCACGACCTGTCTGTGCCCTAATAGATTTATCTAACTAATGCCAGATCACCAACTCTAAACGCACTCTCTGAAAAGCACACCGTCTCCACGAAGGTTTACACCGCAAAGGTGAGCTCGTTTCAGCCAGTGTAATCCCACGGCAGCGCAAAAAACTCAGCGACGTTACACTTTACCCTGGTTGTCACTGATCCAAGAGGAACAACTCACAACCCGCAATAAATTTCTGTTTCATTACAACAAGCCGAAAAGTTCTGTCCCCTGTACGGTGCCGCGAGACATGCTCAAGGAGCGCGGAGATGAGGGCCGCCCCGGCCTTCGCCCCCTTGCCGGCTCTCCCGGCCGCCCGCCTCCC